GTCGTGAAGCGACGCTTTCGGATCCTTCTAATATCCCCTGAGTACAAAATCGATATTCAAGCCCGCATTCCCACAGCGCTTTGCGCTATTCATAATTACATCCGCGCTCATGACCCAGATGAAGCGCCTCTGCCACAGAGAGCTGTCTTCAATGACAACCCTGCCCATCAAGGACTCGGACAACTTCACAACGTCGATGATCACGCTCCGAACGACAGCGACAATGATGACATAAGCGCAAGTGTATTTCGAGATCGCTTGGTGACGCAGATGTGGGACGACTATCAGAGTATTTTACGTGAGCGAGACTTGTTAGATGTATATCACTTCTTAGATATTGACGAAGACTTGGAGGACGAGGAAGACTTAGATGAGTACTATGGGAGCGATGATGAGAATGATGCATAGATTCGTAGCAAACTTCTACTAGTACATAACAATCAATGGAAGCTATGGACGTGAGAAGATAAGCGATACAAATGAGCAACACAAAAACAAGTGATGCGAAGATGATTCGTGATGATGGCAACATTACAACAGCCCCAAATCCTGCCTGTTTGCCTGCCGGATCATAGATTGCAAGAACCCCAGATGCCTCTCAGGCTGGATGACCAAGTAAGAACTACATATTGTCGGGCTCCTCATGAATAGGTTCATGAGGACAAGTGCGTCATCTTCTGATAAACCCGGTTCATTTTGCATCATGACGAGGGCCCTCGTTCTTTTGTCCGACACCCGAGTCTCATCAGTAGTGGTGGTCAGCGTCGTTGTGAGACTGTCTGTGAGACGGTTTATGGAGCCCTGGAGGTTCATGAACGCAGCAGTGCTGGCAGCCTCCTTGGCAGCCTTCTTGCTTGTGCCTGCATGTGAACTAGAAGCGCCACGTGAGATGCTGCTGGGCGCCGCTGACTGCCGCGGCTTTTTTGAAGATGATGCCACTGAAGTTTCGATGGTGGAAGGGGGTGCCGAATGCGAGAGAATCATGTCGGAATGAGAACGTTTTCCTGTGCTAGAGGAAGAAGTGGGGGCAGGGGGGATGATGAATGAACTTCCAGCTACAGGTGGAAGGGCAGACGCGTTCTCATCCCATCTAAAGTCATCGACACCCCCCGTGCTATTGCCAGCCATGTTGCTGACATCACCATACGTGCCTGGGGGGGCAGCCATGCTCATCTCGGCAGCCACTGGTACCTGTGCGGCTAATGAAGCCGGGTTATAGGCGGCCGTCCCTTGTGCACCACTACCACCTGGTAGAAGGTCTTGCATGGCAGCATAATGTCTCCATCCGCTATTTTTGAATGACTTCATGGTCTTAAGCAGAAGGTGAGCACCAGACTGGAGACCAAAGTGTAGTTCAATACATACCTTATTGCTGTTACTGGCATTGATATACTTGTCCCACATGCTTTCTGCGGCTTCCCCCTGAATATTGGCACCATTCTCGTTGTCCCAGTGACATCCCGATCGAGACCGGCGATATTTATCGATGGTGCTGTATATCTGTTTCAACTATAATATGTTAGTGATGGTGGCTGAGCGGTGTGAGACTCAGATGGATGTGACATACCGATGCCCATTTGTTCTTGCAGTGCTCCATTGTCTTCACAGGGCCCCGCTTCCATAGTGAAGCAATATCTTTTGAAGCTGCAAGGAGTGTCGCATCTTTGAAGGTGCTTGATCCTGCGATCTTGGATTTCTGTGTAATGAGATACTCCAGGAAGCGATCGGTCTCCTCTTCAGTCCAATAGGCCTTCTCTTTTGGTGCTTTGTCTTCTGGTTGCGCCATCTCTAGAAGTTTAAACTGAGTGCAGATGATGAAAGCAGCGATAGTCGCATAGATGCGCTTTCGCTGCTGAGGATCGACTTGATATCGACTGATAGTGGTCATGGTCGGAGGGAGAGTATTTTCAATCTCCGTCATCAGCTTCTATGGTGCCGCTCCACCATACTGTCACACGTTGGCAAATTTCGTTCAAATTTCGGTTGCTGAACAGGCTCTTACATTGCTTTATATTACTTTATATTGTTTTATAATGTCATGTATAGGAAAGAGCATTTTGGCGTACATAATATGGGAATATCGGTGGCTCACCGGTTTACTGATGCCGCCAAACCTGACCCTTAAATACATAAGTACCCTGTCTTCACTCTCAACCCGAGTCCCACAATGCCATGGCGCATACCAAGCAGACGGCTTTAAGTTCATGTGGCGGGACTGCCAAGCATGTCTCACTCAAACCTCGAACGTTGAAAACAGAGGCACCACCCGAGGCGCTTCAACTTGAAGTGGCGAAGGCCACGGTACCCGCACAGGCTCTTGAGATGGTGCGCTCTCACTTAGATGTCCGTTCAGGACCGCCAAAAAATCATGCGAGTGACACTGAATTCAACACAAGACCGGTCATCTACTGATATTTTTCCACAGTTCTGTATGCTCTGCCAAGGCGGAGTGGCTGAAGGTGTCTCTATATACGAGTGCAACGAACCTGACTGCCCACGTGTCATGTGTACTCGGTGCATCTCAATTCCGAGCAACTGTGTACAAGAAGTGACGCAGCCGGGTGTGAAATTCTGCTGTATCCACTGCCACACATCCTCGGACAAGAAGTTGAATCAGCTCACATTGTACTATGTGAGTTCATTCGTACCTATCTTCACCCTCTTTCATTCAATCATAAATGTCTAGGGATTTCTTAGGGACGGCGAACCGGTTCTCCCGACATTTCTGGAAGTTTGTGGACAGTTGGAATTTTCCAAACGCTCTCAGATCTCTTCGGCCCCCATTCTCATCGTCCACTTCAAGCTTGCTGGTTGTGGGGCCACTGCGAGCCCAATCGATGCAACCCACACATTCCTTGCACCTTATTTTCCGCACGGTGGCCTCTGCCTAGTCAACGTGGTGTTCGACCTCGCTGATATCGATTACTACTCTAAGCAGTGTGTGAAGCTCGTGAACGACGTTATGGAAGATCGCAAATACGAGTTTGTGTGTATTGCAATCACCGATCACACAAACAATGCAATTGGTGCTGTCCCGGAGGTATGTTTCCTGTTACTTCTTTGCCTCATCTCCGTCAGATGATCAAACCTTCCTCCTTCAGTTTATGGATACTCTACTTGATCCATGGCGCAATGTAATCCGACGTGCAAAGGACACGACACTATTTTTGTTAGGTTGCGGAGCCATCGTCAACCAACCTGAAAATTTTCGTGGTTTGCGTACATCCATTGTCAATCACAGGATTTCATCCGCAGTTGCATTTACCGCTAAGCACTTCCGTCCGACATCCGCCTGCCACTTTATGATCTCGTTCGCTCAGTCTGTCCTCATAGAATGCTTTCCACTGCGCAAAGCATTCCCAAAGATCCTCGACCAATCGGAACTTGGTATGCACTCGGACGTCATCCTGATGTCCGTGACGTCTGGGGATAATCATGATGGCCTAGCGATGCTGTTGCAGTGCACCCGCTACTCATGGGCTCATGTCACCGCCCGTCCGTGGGGCAATACACTTCCAATCCAGTGCCCACAGTGTGGGTGCCCGACCCAGTGGCAGAAATCCCATGCGGACACCTCGCGCAAATGCTCGGTCTTCAAGTGTTCGTATGCAGGCTGTGGTCGTGTCAATGGCAAACCATCAGAAAGGCTTCCCCGCAAGAAGTTCACCTGCAAGGCCCCGAAGGGTGCGATACTGCTTCCAGGGCGAAGAAGAAACGCCTGCTGGTTGCAGATTCCTCTTGACTTTTCCAGACCGAACGCGGTGACTGGCTTTTTGGACTCGAGTGATACTGAGACGGTCTGACGTCGATTGATCTTTGTATATCATACCTTACAACACCCACGTTGCGCTCTATGATCTTGTTATATGAGGTTGATTTTACACGGATCATCTGTCTTTCCTAGGCATCTAATAATGTCGTCCCAGATAGGTAGCCAAGGAAGATGATCATCTACTACTAAGGAATGAGTCTAGCCTGCTCACTCGCAACATTGTGTGATAGACTCTGTAGCCCAATCTATGAACTAATCTCGGGCTGATATGTTTGGTTGGTTTGGATGTGCTGTAGTCGTAAACCGCTGTATGGATGCTCAGCCAAATATCGTAGGAGCCGGTCTCGATGATGTAGTCCCTACTCGATGATAGTCCATTTTGTTCCAAAATATGCAGTGGCAGGAGGTATGGAATGTGTAACAGTGCCCAGTGCATTCGATATTGAAGACGACATGATGATGGTCAGGGATTGTGAGTGTGGTATAAAAGTTATTACCAAGGACTAACAGATGTAGCGTCTGTCAATGTTGGGCATCACTAGAGCCTAAGTAGACCCCTGCATAGGTTTCACAATCACGATCTAAGTGAACATACGAAAAAGTGAGGGCGTGGCTCAAACATGGCTCGAAATATGCATTTTCTAAATGATGTGTATGTATATGCACTAAACAGCAGATGAGGAAAGCCAGTAAATGATAGGACCTACGTGGACTAGTGATGACCTCCATTAGCCGTTCTCTGGCGATAGGACTGGTTATGAAGCAAGCGTGTCGATAAATTTACGGGAGCTGTTCTGAGTGATAAACATCCCAGATGCATTGTGGAGCATTGTCGCCCTTAACTGTGCAAACGGTAGTGGCAATAGCATGAATTCGTTATAGAACGGGCAATATGCATTTACCGAGGTGAGAGATCAGGAGTGAAGAGAGAAATCTAAAAGTGTTCTGGGAGTCGCATCAATCCATGCGTGTTGATTAACTGGCAGCGATGGTCAGCTAGCGGAGGACCGTGAGCCTGTGTGGTCGCTTGAGTATGTGCTGCAGCCTGCTGCTGAGCTTCTACAATCTGTTTGCATTTAAAACCTCTCTCGGAGTGAACTACACCGTGTAACAGTGAGTAGTGAACTCTCGAGAACGCAGGAAAATTGCCACTTACAATGCCGCTAAAGAGAAACAAAAAGGGATCGAAGTCAGCGGATATGCATTGATGACGGTATAGAAGAGTTACGTTTAGGGTATCCAGGCGGCTGAAGGCCTTCTTACAGCCTTGGCAGATGTTGGATTGCGAGCGCGTGACATGAAGTGCTTGATGTCGCCTATGCAGATCATGACGTGAGTATGCCATAGATGAGTGAATAATGAAATTAGGACAGCTGTCGGTCGATGCCAAATATACGATAGAGAAGTAGAAGAGTATTACGAGGAAGCGGGATTGTGAAACCCTTACTTGCAGTCATACTGTCTTGCAAAGCCTTTCTGGCAATAGGGGTACTCGCACACATACGGGCGTTGCTCGGTGTGTGATCGAAGATGTCCTGCAAGGATGATCATGATGGTGAATTATAAAATACAGACATGTGGTGTAACTAGGCACCTCTCAGATTGAATCGACGTGTAAACGTGCTCCCACAACCCAGTACTGGACATGTGAAACGAGCCTCATTCCTCCGCCTGCTTGCACTCGCTACCTGGGTTGCGGATGTGGTGACCTGCTTCTTCTCCACCTGTAGGATAGGAGGGAGATGAGTTATAGCGGTGGAGGATGAAGTGTAGTGGGCCGAGGCAGATCCCCGTCCTGCTCCCGAGGCGAGGACTTGTGCGCGAGTGTAGAGCTCTGCTGAAATGGGGGAGTAGTAGGCCTCCTGCTTGAACTCTGGATGGGGCAGTGGAGCTGACATGGGTTGCTGCTGGATGGAAGGGATGTTTGGTTGGGTTGCGGGAAGTGGATACGGGGTTGGATGTGAGGTACGTCGAAAGCGAGAGTTCCTGTACGTGTGTCCTGGAAAATAATGTGCTAGTTGCTTAATGTCATTGGAACTTGCACCCGGAGGAAAAGACGGCTGTGCCTGGGATTGTGACATGTGGTACTGGGTCGAATAGACAAAAGAGACGACTGTTATATGCGTAAAATTCGACTGTAGACGGAATGGGATATGGAATGCACTTAAGAATGAACTCCTCGGGGCTTTCACAGCCATCTTGGCATCGCCTTCATTGGCGGATGCGCGCTCATAAACCTCGAGCGCGAGTGTCGAGTCCTCCGATGAGGTCGCTGTAAGGTACCCTACACCGATATTCAATTCTTGCAACATCAAGGAAACATTATCGCTTGAAGGAACGCACCGATCATACGCGTAATCTCTGAGGGGTCATATTGCTCGCACCAAAGGCTCTTGTACCTCTTTCACCTTTTGTCGTTCCTTTTTCCTTCTCATGAGTTTCGCGCTATTTGTCACGTCCGCGAGATTTGTCTTTGGCCCTGTTCCTGTCGCGGATAATCCCATCCGAGAAACTCTTCGTCCCCTTCTCCGCCCTTTCCATGTGATGATTTGCAAAAGAATTATCTGATGCTTCATGAACGCAATGTGAGTGGGGCTGCTGAATGAACTGCTCCAGATGTGGATCAGGGACTACCAGTATCCCAAGTGCAGCAGAGGGCGGGGTCTTCTGGTGCGCCAGGGGAGTGAAGCAAGGGAAGACTAACGGCCCGTAAGAAAAGGGGTGAGCATAATGAGGAAGTCCTTGCACAGAAGACTAACCGTTTAACCTCAATCTAACGGGCGGGGTCTCTGACGTCACGTAATACACTGTGTCTACAAGCTCAAGGACACTACAGAATGATGGTCTTCTTGGATAGCACTCCAACAGGTGACAGAGAGTCGATGCAAGTTGTTTGTGTAGGTTCATCGACTGGATGATCTTCTGCTTTTCCGCGAGCTGTTGGCGAGGATCTCGTATTCTACCTATGACAGTACGTCAGTATTCAGGCCTACTATGATATCCTGTGAAACTCCTGCTGGCATTTGGTGAAAATGTCTGATCCTTGAGCTTGATCATCAAAGTGGTCGATATTGCCAGTGGAGCTTGTGATATAGTATTTTGAGGTCTGGAATCTGGTCATGGCATCGATCATATGTCTGAATATTCAATATATACTGGTACAGTCACTCGTGAATGGGGGCCAGCTAAAGTTATTGGTTGTTATTATTAGATGAGTGTAAAACTGCGCACTCACAATAAGGGCACCGATGAAACCCGAGGCCAGGAGATATTCATGTCCGAGTTAGCTGTTGCGAGGGACAATGTTGAAATGCTCGAGGATGAAGACAATGAGATATTTGAATGCTTCGGTTGATCGGAAAAGCTCATTGTGCTTGGGCTGAAGGTGATACCCTCACTGCCCTCTGTAAATTTATTCCACTCACCAAAGGCATACGCGTGCTCAGCATTCTCACAAACGTAAACGAGACCATAAAGATTCGTTCAAGGTGGAGCAACTTCACCAGAACCATCGTCACTTCAAGACACGAAGTTTCTCATGGAAAACTCAAGCCCCTATTCCCGGACCACTGAGATGGCTTCGATGCATGCGTGTGTTGGCTCATGATTGTCCACTCATCCTTGTCCATGAGGAGCCCACTCTCAACAATCTGAGTGGGCAGGTGCAGCGTGCTGTTGCAGGAGTGTAAAACGTCAGACCGAATTATATGCATAAGAAACAAGCAAGACATACTATTTTACGATAAATTCAGTCCTCATCATCGTGTACTCTTAATGTCAGCATCGAGAGAAAAAAGTCGATTCAGTAGTGAAAGTCCAGTGTCGTATACATGCAGGAGCAAACGAACAGGCGCCCTGCTCGAGAACTTCTCTAATTAATAAGTATTCAGTCTTCCGCAACAGAGATACGATTAGAACTTACAATCACAGAGTAGCTTTCCCACAGCAGGATAAAGCAATGTCACGAGGACAGAGCTGCAGTTTTGTGCTTATCGGAGATAGACAGATATCACTGGCAGAAGAGGGCACAGTGAGATGGAGAACGTGGTTGAAAAGGATGGGGAAGAGTTGTATGGGACTGCAAGGGTCTAAAGCGTGATTTATGGGAGATTTAGAATTTCGACTGACAGACCCAGTGACCTACCGAAACAAGGTTTGGGTGCTTCAGCTAGACACACCGCAAATGTCCTTGGCATCATACACCTGCCAGGCAGAGAGAGGATCATGACTTTTTAAAACAACGCCTCGCTACGAGTATGGAACTTGGAGGACGGGAAACAGATAGGGAAGCACTGGTGGGACAGAGAAATTACAGTGTTGACCATAGTGTTGTCTCCGGATGGGAAGAAAGTGGTTAGTGGGAGTCGAGACGGTGCAGTGAGGTTGTGGGACATTGACACATGCAAGGTCATCGCAAAATGGATGGGGCACACAAAGGGTGTGTGCTCTGTCTGCTGGAGTCGAGATGTTCGACGAGTGTTAAGTGGATCAGGCGATGGGACTGCAAGACAATGGGACGTGAAGAGCGGAGAGACTATCCTCGCACCAGTCAAGACCGGGCACGAACACGTGATAACTCGCCAGACATGACTATGTTTGCGACTGGTGGAGATAACGAGTCCATCAAAATTTGTGATCCCGAGACAGGCGAGCTGGTCGCAACTCTCAAAGGACAAAAATTCAGTGTATTGCCTGACTTAGACCCCGGACGGAAAGGCGCTTATCTCCGGGTCAATCGACTGCTCGATTAGGACATGGACCATTGGTCTATGCTCTTGGACTCAAAGTGAGGTTGCAAATCAAACTGGCAATTAATTGTCGTCAAGAGACAAACTAAAATTCGCTATAGTAGAACCACAATTGTAACGGGCAACAGAACTATTTGGGTAAAAACCCGGCAAAGGGTTTTCGGCTGAAACGGACGATAAGGACCTAGAAGAAAAGTGCAAGTATGAGCTGTGTATCCCACACAATTAGGAGCCAGTCGATGCAACAAGCTCATGCTTGGCCCCTAAACAGAAGGAGATGGGCTAAGACTTACTAGAAAAGGTTTAACGTGGCGGAGGTAGCGCATACCGCATGAATGGCTCTAACACTGGTGTGTCCTGCAAATAAGGTGCAAGCACGACTGCATGTTTGCGCAGGTAGAGTACAAAGGCATCGCTGCTCCAGCGTCCCATTGCCTTGATATTGTCGAAAGGTACTCCACGAAGCAGGTATTCCAGTGTTCCTCCAATCCGTATACCATGACCTTTCAGTGCCCCAACTCCCAGTTGATCCCCAGCGGCCTGCAAACTTTTCAGGAATTCGGATCTAGTGAGAGGACATAAACCTGTCCGATGGCACCAACTGAAAACCGCCGCAGACCCTGGGGGGCTGTTGATGGCTAGGTGATTTTGTAGAGCCGCTTGAGGATCAATGACACCAGATTGCATTGCCCAGTAGACGTCCTCGCCGGTCTGCGAGGTCTTGGTGCATGGCAGTGCAAAAATGACAACTTTGAAGCCATTCTGATCCTCTTCGTGATGTATGTCGCTAACTTTGACATGGATGTGGGGATTGAAGCTGGTGAGTGATGGGACTGTGAACTCTCCAGTCCTCGCGATGGTGAAGAACGACGTGGTGAGGCATGCAAATACTGCTGCGTGCAGGGGCTGTGAAATGTCAAGCATGGACCGTATGTCCATGAGGAGTTTGATTGTGAATGGTGCGTGTTTAGGATGCTTTGAGGATGGAGGGGCCAAACAGGCAGCACCTGTAAGCACCAAAAAGGACTTGGCATGGTTGGCAAGCCAAGGCATCCCATGGAGCAAGTGCCAGGCACGAATTGCATAAAAATAGTTTTCCAGCATAGTGCCCACATAAACTCCTGCGCATGCCGAGATAAACGCCAAGAGTAGGACCGGAGGGGCAGGACAGCGTTGTTCCTCAGGGATCCCTCGGCATCGCAGAATACATGGTAGATGAGGAGACCCGATCCGTAAGTTTCCCTAGTGCTAGCGGCATGAGAGTGTGAAATAACAGCTAGAATGCGGTCCAAATCATCAGTTGACACGGGAATTGGCACCCCGGCGTGGTCGAGACGAGAGCGCTTGGTGTTAGGGACCCAGAGCCTCAGACGGTCTCTAGCGAGACAATGAGGTCAAAGGAGGGAAATCCATGGCGTTAAGCTTGGTGGATATGGTCGTGTCGAATGTATTGTGGGCACTGTTAGTACTGGTAGGGAAGTGCTCGTGAAGCGTGAAACATCTACTGTGCATGCGGTCGAGGATGCAGCTGGTTGGGAAACTGTTGAGGTCCAACCCGTCAACCAGGACTGCAGACAACTAACTGCAGTCACTGTTGCACGTGATTCTGGGCTAGGCACTGGTAAGGAATTGGGATAGGTCTCCTGGGAGCTCAATGGGCGGGAGCTGAAGTTTCCGTGGAGGGAAAATTCCCCGTGAGGGTCCATCAGCTGGGTTCTGTTGGCTGGGTATGTAACAGAGGTGGAAGGAGGTTTGGTGAGTGCGCGAGTCGAGCAGAGATCGGACTCGCCGAAAGATAAGGTTAGTGGGTCTGTTGCGACTCCTACCATTGCGCCAGCCATCAACGACCCCTTGGTTGTCACAGTAGACTTGTAAGTGATGTGGGGAGTCGTCGATGTTGGCTCGGAGGAGAGCGTGGACCAAGAGCTCAAACCCAACTGCTTCCACCCATCCGATGTCGCGGGTGCCATTAAGTGTTTGCCAACCTGGTTGTAAGCTCCAGGCATGCCAATACCCATTGACAACAACTCCGATGCCAACGGTCGAACTGGCATCCGAGAAGGCTCAGGCGTCAACATGTTTGACCGGGCATGGAATTTGTCGGCCGACAAAAGGCTTGGCAAGCTGATCGTGCCACCATTGCAAGTCTTCATAGAGGTGTCGGACAGGATGGTGGGGCACGAAAGGACGCGAACTACAGATGCTGAGCATGGTTTCAAGAGAGGTGAGGTATGCTCGTCTTGCAGGAAGGACGAGGCAAGCATGGAGAAGCTTCCCGTGTAGCCATTGGACGTCAAGGAGTAGATGTGTCAGGCTCGCATGCCAGTCATTGATGGTATCCATGTATTTCTCTTTCTTTGTCTCAGCGAGCTGTACCGTGAGTGTCATGAGACACCAGAGTAAACCGATGTATAAGACTTGATAGGCAAAAGGAGTATCTTTTGATGGTTCCCAAGGAAAACCAAGTGGGGATGATGCACGGTCAATGTCACAGAAGGCGTATGCGAAGTCCAGGTCATTGTGGTGGGAACGTACTGAAGAAAGTGAGAGGTCCAGTAATGGAAAACCGCAATCTTCAGTAAACTCGTCAAACAAACCATCACTGAATTCATCACCTTTGTACCACAGACGTCCACCACTCTGAGACTGACCCAAGTGAGCCAACTTGAGATGAAGGGGTAAGCGCAGACTATTGTAATGACTAAGATGCTCTCTTTGGATGTGGAAAAATAGATGGTCGTCCACCCACTTGGTGACTGGACCAATCCCCTATGCACACAACAAATCAACACCGGCATCTGCAACATGTCCATAAGCTCCAGCAGACGGACCCATCCCAAAGGCTGTACAGGTGTCAATGCAGAATGCGTCGTCAGAAAGGCGAACCACTGTGGAAGGCCACTGTGAAGGGTGTAAGGGGACAATTCGGTAGGCTTCGGCAATATCTCTTGTTGCGGCTTGAGATCCAGGTGGCAGATTGCAGATGAGAGTGCAAACAGCGTCAAAAGTCCCCCAAGTGCAGGGGAAATCATCAGAATCAACCAGTGAATTGATGGAAGGATTGGGATTGATGGCAGACTGAGTGTTGGGGAAGGAAAAGTTCTGAATGACGTGGTATTTCCCTGGCTTCCCTTTTTTGGGTATGATGGATATGGGTGAGGATTAAAAGTGTCCCAAAAGACGTCCCAGTTCGATGCAAGTGAAAGGTCCAATGTACTGTCCGGTGTCGAGTTCACGAGATAGGATGACTTCGAAAGCTGTCCGATATCAAACAAGAGAAGGAGAATTAGAGGGTGTTTGTGTGGATTCCATAGCTGGAAGATTAAGGTTGAAACCATTGCGTAATCCGCATGGAACATCTGGATACCAGTCAAGAAGTTTGTGCATATGAAGTAGAGATTCCCAAGCTGAAACATTATAGGGTGTGATTGGGTGCAGCCGTCTGTGCTTGAGGGCAGTGCTGAGATCCATGTGTGGTGGAGAGACAACCTGCACATATGTGGCGTTCGTCGTGTGAGTGGTTGCTGCACCCACGAGTCCGTTGCCAATCGACACACAGTGGCTTGTTGGTTGTGCGAAGCAGGAGTTGTCGGTTGACTCGTGTGGTAACCGCAGTATGGGACTTGTCCCAGAGGTGTTCGGAAGTACACTCGATAAAATGGTGGGCATGGCTCCCCAGGCAGACGGCACACACAGCAGGGGACTTCTGTCCATGTGTGCCTTCTGGAAAACCCGCGCGCTGCGACGGCACATGGGCATCGCAGGCAGGTTGAGGCCTGTTATTCGCACTAGGAGACGCAGAACGTCTCCGCCTGTTCAAATTCTGCAAACGTGAGGGAGCAGGTGAACGACCTGCACGTTGTGAACGCGGTGCCGACGCAGTGTCCCCAGGGACGTTTGTAAAGTGCAGTCCTTGTAAACGCTGATTAAATGCATCGCACCACAAATAACGCAAGATTGCCCAGGTAGGCCGCAGAAGGTAAACGCATGAACGAGAGAGTCAAAGATTGACGTTCAAAGGCAGAGCGAGAGAAGAGCGAGACAAAATCAGTAAGCTAGTTAGTTGAATGTGATGGAATAACAGACCTGGTAGTCATAATCATTGTCGTGGCGGCGGCAATCCTCCCGATAAATGCGATCCAACGTGCGATTGATCTCAGTCTCATCGAGGATTGAAATATCCCAAGCTCCTCCTGCCATTGGAATGGCTTGGTGCCATGCTTGACGCTGCTCCTCCTGATACATCAGTAGAGCTCGCTGATCGAGAGGACTGTCTGAACTCCAGTACCGGTGCAACATGAGAGTGCCCCAAAACGCAGCTAGCATATGTACCCGTTCTTCATCCCAGCCTCGTTCTGTCAAGGAAACAACGAGTTGGGGGATGGCTTGTGCAAATTCCAGAGGGCTCAAGCTGTGGTCAGGAATGACTGCTGTGGAGGGTCGCATGGCATTGGCTGGCATCCACGTGGTAGCGCCATCTGGCCCAGTGGTGGGTACCATCCCCTCGTCGTCCGTAGTGCGATAATGCAGACGTGCATCTGATAGACCCTTGTTGGTCCAATAGTAGATTTCCACATGATGGCCCTTCTCAAGTTTGCATAGGGCAAAGTCTGAAACTAGAATGTTCTCATGGGCACGTGAAGGTCAGGGATGTTTGGGGATGGGTATGTGTTTAAGACGGTTCCTCTTTTTCTCTTCCTCTTCAACCGCAGCTTCTTCGAGTCGTCACACTTGAAGTTGCTGTTGCGCTTCGTCGTCAGCGTGGTGTTGTTGTTCCGCCGCAGCAATTTGATCTGCTGCAATTTGGTTCTGCCATTGCGTTCGCTGTGCAGTATTGGTTGCGGTCCAGACTGCCTGCAAGAGCACAGCAGCTTGTTCCTCAGTGTTATTTAAAGCTACAAGCAGTGCTCGGCTCGTTTGGTAGAAGTTGGACGTGAAGTCCGGGCAAATTTCTGTGCTGGGGTCAGAAATAAGACGGTTCATAACGGACAGACCTGGGATCGAAGGATCTTTTGATTGAGCAGACTGGTAGTTGTGCAGCAAAGAATTTTAGCCACAAGGACCAGAAAATGATGACAGGCAGTGATAGCGAGGAAGAAAGGAGCAGTGCATGTCACTTATTCGGATCAGGCATAGACCTCATTCTAGGCACGTGCTCGTGCCTCGCACTTTACTTAGAATACAAAATACCACAACATGTAAGCAGACCGCAGTGCTGGATGAGCACTGTCTATGCCATTGCAATATCTCCGAATAGCCGCATCCTCGCGAGCGCATGGTCCGACAAGACAGCGCGATTGTGGAACCTTAAAACCCGCCAGCCCATCAGTTCGCTCCTCCAGCATGCAGAGATAGTGCACTGTGTGTCATTTGTGGCAGATGGAAAGCTCCTAGCGACTGGCTGCCATGACACAAACGCGTACACATGGGATGTTGCTGTAATTGTTATGGAAGCTTGCCTCGATGACCTTCTAAAGGTGAGAATGTGTTTCTCTACGTTCTCGTCTTAGGAACTGAACGCGCCCTCCCAGCCGCAGGAACCTCACAATGCGTTACTCAATGTACGTGGCACGTTTATGAAACCATATCATTGCAAATGAATGTATGCACTTTAGCGTGATGTTACACAATGTCCGGTCCAGCCACGCCACGACGCCTGTCGTGTGCCTCCTGGCTTTTTCGACGACCTACCACATCGTGCTCACGTACGTCGTTAGCGTCTCGTCCAGTCGTTTTTTCCTCACATCATGCGTTCAGCTCTCTTCACGACGCCGCTCCTCAGCACCGCATGGACGCACAATTCTTGGGCGCATCTCTTCGTCATTCAGCCGAACCCACTCCAATACCCACAATACGCCATCCCGACGCCGACCTCTGATCGACTGGGCTCGAAATATTCTCTCTGAGACACCGCACAGATAAAATGGTGCAGGGATCGAATTGCACGAGTGTCGCTCGGCGATAGTCGATGTCCCGTTTACACAGGGAAAACGTGTATGTTCCCGTCTTTCTTCTCGAATGTTCAACTCCCTGATGTTATTTTTCCTTCTCCGATGTTCGACACCGCCTCGTATCATGTAGAGGAACGCTTCAGTGAGAGAGAAAAGGAAGCCAGCAGGCAGTTCACGGCCTCCTAAGCCCAGTAACACCCAGCAATCCGTCGGATCAGCTCAAGCCCAGACTCAGTCAACTTCGCAACCACATACCACTGCATCATCCACCACACCTGCCCCCACTTCTACAGCTACAACATCAGCGCCCTCGCGCCCCCATATAACACTAAGACACGCTGGACGCTGGACTCGTTTCTGGCTCCTCATCTGTTGTACCTCCCCTGAGTATACCGAAGGTCGTCATTAAGTAATCTACTGTTTGCTCGTCGTTTACATTCGTCTCTTCCATGTCTTTACCAGATGTACAACTCGCCATTTATGTGTTCTGCCTACTCATACTACTCCCCCTCCTATGTGGTTGGTTGGTTCAAACCATTCTTTTTATACCCCTTACCGTCTCCCATCAGAATACACATACGTAAGCCCCTACTTCATATTTCATATTATTGCCCTCGTTATTGCCGTTGCACAGTAACATTCCAATCAGGTTTTGCACCGCTCTCCTTATCTCTGGACCCTCTTCTCAGTCTTTCCATGACGGACCGGCACTTGTCAGTGCTTGACATCTTACTCGAGAGCGGTTTGAATACACTCAAAATACACTACCCAGAATCTCTAACGACAGATTGACTAAGCTGGTTCTCATGTAGGATACGTTTGGTCTATACGATTAGGGTGTGGAGGTTTCAATGCGCACAATGAAGGAAATATATACATGAATGATACTGACGCAATTTTGATCAGCGCGATCCTCCGTAGGGCGCAGGGCTCGTATGCGTCTCGCAGCTCAGTATGATCGTGGTAATTATCCTCGGGCACGCTGGCACCTGCGCTACACAGCTTGCTCGTGACGGGGCCAACGAGGCTCTGGATCTCCTACAGCTTCTCTCGAACTCCTGCCGTAAGCACTCTGGTCACGTCATCTGCCTCCTGAGGATGATCTCTTTTATCGTTAATTTTGCTGCCCGTGAACAGACCAATAGCCAAGTTGGATGAACGATCGCTGAGTTGGACTTGGTCATAGACAGAAGAGGACAGGTGTTGGGGCACTCGACACGCTTGCTGGAGGCCCTGTCCTCTGAGGCGAACTGTTCGACCTCGTGGACCATGCGCTCAATGTGCTCGGATTGTCCAGTGCCCCGATGCACTTTGGGAGGACGTGCAGTCCTCTCTGTCCGCACCCAGATTGTCAGCGGGTGACAATCAATGACGATAAAACTGCGAGGGTGTAGGATGTCAGTAGCGGAGACCATCCTGGACCCGATAACGATGGACCATGAGCGGGTGAATGCTTTGAACGAAGACAGGAGGAGACTCTACACTTGGTTAACGAGAATTGAATCTGGGACAGCAAGTCGGGAAAACTGCTCATGTAAGTTGTGCAAGCAAAGCGTTTTGAGCCTCAGATATTAAGATCCCCTTATCTGTAGCTAACTGAAGACTCGTTTAAAAAGTACCGTTTGTAGGAGACCGTTGGTTTCTTGGTATTACCTCTTGCATATGTAGAAGCCACGCGTGTTGGCAAGCTGAAGTGTTTTAGCTGAGGTTAGTTTTAGCTTCAGGAGATGTTCCGTAGATGGTTGTGCGTACTTTTCACAGTACGACCAGCGGCGGCGGCGGGCGGGGGCCATCAGTAAACCGGTGAGACTCAGATGTTAATAGATATTGTAGTATTTTGTAAGCCCAATGCTTCTTTCCATACAAAGTAATATATACGCCAATTCAAATATTCACGCTCGGTCCAGACTTAGATATTGTTTTATAACGCCATGTATATGAAAGAGCATTTCGGCTTACAAAATATGAGAATATCGGTGGCTCACCGGTTTACTGATGCGCCCGCCCCCTCTCCAACGTGATCAGCCTGACTACGTCCTTGAGAGAGAAGGGTTATGATATATGTAGTCAGACTGGATCTGTTAGTGGCAGGGCGCTTGCAGTCAGCGACTGTGCCTGTAGTAAACTTTGACCGAAGACACCACTCGACTTTTAAATGGGGTGTAAGCCGCTCTGGTCACGAGCTTATCAAACTTGAAAGATGTTCCGCTCAGCTCGGGCCTCAAAGAATTACACATGAAGTTTATATAATTGAGCACGCACTTCCCGTTGCGAATCGGTATAACTTGTTGTTCTGATAGAACGGCATCACGAAACGATGGAGTAAGTGATGCAACAAACGAACTGTCAGAATGCTGCTCAGACATACGCTCTCGCCGACGACGGGAAAGCGAGACGCAAAGCATTTCGAATGGAATTCAGTGGGAGGAAGAAGAGAGATATAGCATGAGGACATCAACTACCATTACAGATCATCAAGGCAACTTCTTCAATCAATCAAGCCCTCGGTAGACGCTGACCTCCGCTCTTCGCTCGTCCATTTCCGCTCTCCATCATTCTCCTCGTACAACGAGCACCTCGGTGCTCCGAGTACATGTAACAAGCCACAGCACTTGCCCAGGACCACCTAAGCACGCAATGTACCATCACGGTCCCGCAAATTGGAAGGCTCGTGCATCTAAAACGGCCGGCGGAAACGGCGGACCGATGAAGTCAACCCTCACCGGGGCATTTGTAGAGTCGGAGACGCGGCGGGGGACACGGGTGTCCCCCTTTCCTAGATAGCAATGTCCTACATAGGGTAGTACACCCCAACAAGACAATAACAAAAGACAGACGCTCATATGTTACTGTGCACTGTGCATGTTATTCAGCAAGGCAGACGTGACATTATGACACGAGTGAAAGACGGCACATGCCCTTGAATACAGTGACAACCAGTGTCGTTTCGCCATAAGGATTATTCAAATAAGCTGGTAATTATGAGTCGTCACATCACTCTTCGCATGAATTCCCGCACCACCTACAGTGCACCGTGACATACTTTAACTTGAAGAACATACAAACCAGCCGGAACCAACAAGACCTGCACTCGAGTTTGCGACTAACAAACTGCTGCAACATAGCTACAGCTGAAAGAGCCGAGAGGAAGGAATAGGCTCGGGTTTTGGGAGCCTAGATAGATGTTCGCCAAGTCAGCGCCCACCAGTCCCGGTGAGAGGTATTGTGCCTGTCCTGGTGATTATTCCTCGAAGGGCTTAAGATAACACAACCTTTGATCTCTCCGTCTTCATAACTGCGGCCCAAGCACGGATACATGCCCAGCCTGCTGAGGTATCATTGACGCATGCGCGGGTTGGGTGGTGACGGTCCAGTCATCCATGTCCATGAGAAGTTCGCTCTCGAATCGTCGATGACTCGGATCCGAGTAGAAGGGCGCAGTATTCTGTTGCGTGTCAAACGTCAGACGGAAATGATGTGCGTGGGAAATATATATACTGTTACGATAAATCCAGTCCTCGTCATCAGGCACTCTCGATGCCAGTCCGGATGTCATAGATATGATGTAGTGCATTGCGCGCTAATTTCTCCAAGCAGCGAGGCGGAGAATGTGGTATGGTGACAGAATTGTATGGGACTACAAGAGTCTAAGATGGATGGAGCATGATTTTTCCGATGATTTTGAAGACAGGAGAAGAAGAGGAATTGGTGTTAGACTGAGAATCTCGACCGACGGACCCGGTGAACAGATCTACTATACACAAACAAGGTTTGGGCGCCTCAGCTGCACTGCCTAGGCCCTATGATGGATATAAACTATGATGGATAAGGCACCTAAAACGTACCACCGAATTCCCAGTGGACTCAACTGCGACTCGACCGAAACGCCCCTTGCCTGTGTGTCGAGTCCTTTTGAAAACATCATCTTGGTAAGTGATTGCGTACTTTGATAGATGAAGGCTGAGAGTGTGCTGCACTCAATAGCTAGAATTCTGGGGTATGTCTTCACTCACCGCTAGCGCGGAGGGGACATCAGCGATAGCACCTCGGCAGAAATTTGAAGGACACACCGCTCATGTCTGGGGCGTCATACACCTACCAGACGGAGAGCGAATCATCACTTGTTCAAGGGACGGCTCACTGCGGGTATGGAACTTGGAGAGCGGGAAACAGATAGGGAGGGACTGGCGGGATGGGGAAACTCGAGTGTGGACCATAGCGTTGTCTCCGGACGGGAAGAAAGTGGTTAGCGGAAGCGAAGACTGTGCAGTGAGGTTGTGGGACATCGACACATGCAAGGTCATTGCAAAATTGACGGGGCACAGAGAGGGTGTGACTTCTGTCTGCTGGAGTCAAGATGGTCAGCGAGTGTTAAGCGGATCAGATGATAGGACAGCAAGGCAATGGAATGTGGAAAGCGGGGAGACCATCCACGCACCAATCAAGACTGGCTCGTCACGGTACACGGAATTGAACGCGGTCGTCTACTCGCCTGACATGACCATGTTTGCGACTGGTGGATACCACACGGACGAATACTTCATCAAAATCTGGAAGGCCAAGACAGGCGAGCTGGTCGCCGCTCTTAAAGGACACAAAGATAAAGTCTGCTGCCTTGCCTGGACCATGGACGGAAAGACGCTTATCTCCGGGTCACATGATCACTCGATTAGGACATGGAACACAACAACCTGGAAGCAGCTCGCTATTCTAGACGAGCACACCAACCGTGTCATTGCCCTTGCAATATCTCCGAATGGCCGCATCCTCGCAAGCGGTTCGCTCGATGATACAACACTATTGTGGAATCTCAATAACGGCCAGCCCATCACTTCGCCCCTCAAGCATCCAGGTGCAGTGGGCTGCGTGTCATTTTCGGAGGATGGAAATCTACTAGCGACTGGCTGCGCTGACAATAACACGTACACATGGGATGTTGCTACGATTGTTAGAGACGCTGGCCTTGACGACCTTCTAAAGGTGAGAAGGTGTAGCTCATTCTAGTCTCAGGAACTGAACGCGCCCTTCCAACTGCAGGACAGTAACAAGGCGTTACTCGATGTACGTGGCACGTTTATACAAATATCTCATAGCAGATTAATGTATGCACTTCAGCGTGATGCTACGCGACGTCCTACGATCCAACGACGCCCAGACGCTCGTTATGTGCCTCCTGCCAGCTTTTTCAACGACTCGCCAGATCGTGCTCATGTACGTCGTTAGTATCTCGACCAGTCGTTTTTTTCCTCACATC